AATATGTTATTTTATGAAGAAAGAAAGTCATACAGGTTTGTAACAACATGAGAATGAGTAAACGGTAAAAATCTGCATTTCTGGGTGAACTATCTTTCCCTTTAAAGGGTTAGTTCACCCAAAAATGCAAATTCTGTCATTAATTACTCACCCTCAAGTCGTTCCAAACCCGTAAGACCTTCGATTATCTTCAAAACACAAATGAAGATATTTTTGATCCAGTAAGGTAGTAAGGACATTGTTAAAATAGTCCATTTGACATCAGTGGTTCAGCCGTAATTTTATGAAGCTTCGATGAATACTTTTTGTGTGCAAAGAAAACAATTATAACGACAATTTTTTTTAAATTCAACAATTCTTCTGTTCCGTGTCAGTCTTCAACGCGTGTTCATGAGAGTACCATGACACATGCGCACAAAAAAACATTCTTGTAGCTTCATAAAATGAATGTTGAACTACTGATGTCACGTATCGACTATTTTAACAATGTCCTTACTACCTTTCTGGGCCTTGAACGTGATAGTTGTGTTGCCATCTACGGAGTGTAAGAAAGCGGATTTCATCAAAAATATCTTAATTTGTGTTCCGAAGACGAACGAAGGTCTTAAGGGTTTGGAACGAAATGATGGTGAGTAATTAATGACAGAATTTTAATTTTGGGGTGAACTAACCCTTTAAGGCTGGTTCACACAGTCAGCAACAGGGTTAACACAATGCAGCAATTTGCAAATGTTGGAATTTGGTTTCCTGGCATTTGTTGCATTTGTTTTTCCAGAGTAATTTTCAGGGAAACAACTGAGACAAAGTCGATACTTTAAAAACACATAACTGAGGACCCCCTAATGTCTCCTGAGCTAGCAAAGATGACCCTCTGGGATGTGTTTAAACACACAGACCTGAAGTTTTTCGGCAATGCATCATCAGTCACCTGATTGTGAAATCATCGAGGTATTGTTAAATTCCAAAAACACTCACCAAACTTGACAAACAGGATTCCTGTGGTAGATACTGTGCCATAGGTGTTGGTAGCCACACACTGAAAGTAGCCGGTGTCTGTGGTGTCCAGGTTTCGGATTCTCAGGCGGGAGCCGTACGAAGTGGGCCTGTAAGAGACACGCCGTGGTTCCTGGACCACAGGAGCATCGTTTTTAAGCCAGCGGACTGTGGGTGGTGGATTCCCTGAAACGTGGCAATGTAACTCAGCTGTCTGTCCGAGGGAGGTAGTGATGTTATTCATTGGAGCATCCAGCCTTAGAAAGTGATCTGAAAGGACAAGGGAGAAAAGTTATTGAAAATGTCGATTAAAGCTAACTTACTCAAATTACCCAAAGGGAATAGGGTTAAAAAATCCAACAGAATGAAGGTGAGCAATAATGACAGAACTAATCCTTTAAACCGCCATTATTTGATATGTAGTAAGTCAAAAGTTTTTCCGAGAGGGTTTTTCCGAGAGTGTTTGTGTGTATTTGAAACTATATACGAGCATACAGTGTGCAACAAACCTCTAAGCTGCCGGTTAGGAATTCTTTACATGATATTTAGTGGTTGCCACTAGGTGGTAAATCATTAGTTTGTCTCATCGGGCTGGATATTGCCAGAGGGGACGGCAAAACCTCTTGAAGCTTCTGGAACCTTCTGTCTCCAGAAAATCTGTCTTGCCAGGCCTACAGCTAACTTTGATAAGGGGCCAGCAAAAACATGACAACCCCCAATATTTCATGAGTGGTGGGAGGGAAATAAAAGCGCTTGCAGTGAGCTCAGCAGATCTGACCCATTCTGGTCTGAGTAAGGCCATAGAGGGGAATGCTCAAATCTATGGGAAAGTTACAGTTGAAACACTTTGTGGTGAAGGACGTCAACCAGAATTAGGGTAAGAGTGGATATACAATGGTATGTGTGTGTTTGCGAAAACAATGTGTGGTTTTAGCACAAATACATTTTCATACATTTGAATAGATGCTGAAATGTACAGTCCAAAATTAACACCCAAACCAAAGATTGTGATAAAACACACATATAAACCAGTAAATAAATGAAACACATTAATGTTACATCATAAAACTGACAATGTTACACTTTGTTACACATATGTTGTACTTCTTCAGGTTGTATATACTAAAGTAATACATAAAATGGTTGAAGTTTTAGATGCTGTCAATACATTATTGTACATTTCAGTGTATGTCCACCCATACAAAAATGTTAAAATAAAAAGTGTACACTTAGTGTACAAATGGCTATGAATACGAATGAGATCATCTTGGCAAAAAATAAACAGTCAAAGTTGTTTCATACAAATAACTTTAACCTCTGTAAAGTTCCCTGGGACTTCCTGTGGAGTCATATGATCGGTTTGGCAGACATGCTCTGACAGGCTCTTGATGGCATCCCGACAAGCCCTAATGGTGCAGCCAAGAAGCAAAGAGTGAAAGTAAACTTTTCCTCTCACTCAGCACGGATTTACTATGAGCATATCAAACATACAGTCCAACAATCTGTCAATACTTGCTCATGATTAAAAGAGTCTAATAGACTACTAGGGCATTGTGCAGTGACTAATTACTATTACAAACTAAATAAATTACTAAAATACTAAAATCACTAAATAATGCAGTGCAAAAGTGGGGTTCCAAAAGAAAAAAAAAAAACACATTTTTTTCCATAGAGAAATTGTTCTTAAATGATAATAAATAAATATTTCAAGAAAGGTATATTTAATTTTATAATTTGTATTTATTAATTTTATTTTATATAAATAGTTTTTATATTAAACTGCTGTTTCTGATTCAATTATGCCATTCACTATGTTTCAGGAGATGAGTAGTTCATTCCTCTATTGAAGACATCTAATTGATGTGCTTATTCAGATATTCTGTTTATATATATGTATATTCAATTCCCGATTTTTATTTATTCATTTTTTGACGATAAAGAAATTAATTGGAATGAAAAAAAAATTTCAAAAGCCACAGCCACCTAAATAGTTTTGTTCTGTTGTACACTATACTCTAGTCTGTAAGGCAATGAAATTGGTCTGTGAATCTATGAGGTATATGATATGATAAATCATAATGGTAAAACTAGAAAATACAAACTGTTGATTGACATGTTATGCCACATTACTTCACTGAAGTCTGAATTTATAGTGGTTGGAATAGTTCTCCTTCCCTCTCTCTTCAAATTCAGTGGCATCTTCTCACAGGAGGTCAGACTCTGGTGCAGTGCAAGGAATGTGACTTTGACGAGAAAATTAATAAAAGTATATTGAGAGGGAGCCATGAGTGTGGCCCCTCAGGGTTAAAGGCAGGGTAAGCAGCCGCAGGGCCCACAGCTGTGCAGGTACATCCACAATATTAGTCCTGCTGTGGTAGTAGGGCTTGAATTCCTCTGACTACCATTCACCTTTCAGAAACCTTAGCGCTGTCTGAACAACACCTGTGACCTGACAGCAGTGCTCAGCAAACTGCATCTAGGGTTACCAGGAATCTGGTGGTAGATTTGAGCAGGATTTTGTTGACCACAACATTAACAAGAGTATGAGGATTGGACCTGGGAAAAAATTAAAGTGACCCTATTAATCCAAAAAACATTCAGAATAGGGGTTTTCAAAATTCAAGGTGTCCATGGAAAATTTCAGATAAAAATAACAAACAGGTATATACTGTATATCTATCTATCTATCTATCTATCTATCTATCTATCTCTCTCTCTCTCTCTCTCTCTCTCTCTCTCTATATATATATATATATATATATACATATGGTTCATTATCACGAGATTGTTTATTAACTGTTAATTGTTAATGTTGTTAATCATTAACAAATTATTTTGTTATATTGACAATCCTATTTTTTTACAGCAAATTTGTTTTTTAACAATAATAATATAAAGGTTTAATAATTTTGCAATAATTAATAACAATTCCATTTTAATTTTCCAATGATTTAATTTTGCAATATTATGTACAACAATAATAATATAAAAGCTAATTGTTAATTATGCAAACAACCTCCTGTCTTTATAATATTAATATAGCTACTATATTATTTTTTTCCACACCAAATAATTTTGACAACATCTGCATTTGAAAGTGCTGCAAAGGCAAGTCCTTTTTCAAGATTCAAGATTCAAAATTCAATCCACAAAATACATTAATCGTGCAGATTTTTGGGGCCTCAGTCATTTCCTATGGTCCCCATCGCAACATATGAAACCACAGTGAGATACCTGAGGTCTGGGTGACAAGTGACTAATATACACACCATCCAACTATTACTCCACTCCCTTTTATCCTTACTCTTGTCCATTCACACCTCCTCCCTTTTCTTTTCCCTCCTCTCTTTCTACAGACATGTCTGGTCTGAGGACAGCTAGAGGAAAAGATCCCGTCCTTCCCCTGGCGGATCTCTTCTTTATCCCTCCATCTTAATTTCCTCCATCCAAACATCAGCTCTCTTACAACAATATACAAATATGGCTCTCCAAAAAATGGAACCGAATGAAGAATCCAACCACAGGGGGGATCAGTTCCGACCCATAATGCTGTCTGACTGACAAGCCTAATCTTCTGGGCACTTCCACTTCCTTTTAATGATGTAAGGATGCGGTGACTGGTTAGGAACTTCAGCCAGAAGGAACAAGCTGCACACAATCCCACACATACATGTAATTCAGTTGTTTATTTATCAAAGTTCGGCAGATGATTTGAAGAAGTAATTTGACCATCTGAAGTTAGCAGGATCGAGACAATGGCATCTTTTGTTGGCAGTGTGGATGTGTGTGGACAGTAGGCTCTTTGTTTACTCTGCTGATAGTTATTGGAGGGGAGTGTGAGGGAAATGGATGTCCGAGTCTATCATACCATTTCTGCTACATCAGTTTCAAAGGAGCCACTGAGATAAATAGGAAGGCATGTGCATATTCTTTCTTGGATGTGGAATCTACAAGTGAATGCAACAAAATGTACAATTTTATATCACTTAAAATGTATACTTATTCAAAGCATTAGAGAACTAGATTTTCAGTAAAGACTGACGACATGATACTAGAGCATTATGGGTAGTTGCCAAGGTTTCTGTGTGGTATTTATCATGTTGTTCTGCAATTGCTGATATTTTTACCTTTCATGAAAATGCATGTCATAAAAACTATGACATCTAATTTAACACTGTAAAGCCTCTGTAAAATATAAATATTAGTCTGAAGAACCAAATTTTTTGAAATTGGGCAGTTTGTTGAACCTTTAGACAAAATCTAAAAGAAATTCTAAGAAAATGCATGCATGTGTTTTGAAATAATAAAAATTCAAAAAAATAAATAAATAAGGTACCTCAACCTAAATGTGGATATTTTTAGATTTAAACCAGCAGTTTTAAATTAATTGATAATTTATAGGTCTTAGAAAGTAATGTATTAAATATGATACCGCAGGCTTTAAATATAAAATAATCAAAAATGATTTCAGTGCTAATTGTGTGAAAATCCCTCTGTACTTAGCTTCTAATAAAAGACAGAAACAAAGTCTTGAACAGCATGTTAAAGTATTAGACATTATATTTGAAGAAAACTATGAAATATCAAGGTAAATATACCTAGAATATATATTTTTAAATGTTAATCATTTCCAGAGTAATTTTCTTAATTAAAAAGTACAACATCCAAACGAAAGCCTAATTTTCTAAAATAACGCAAAAATTACAAAAGTTGCAAAAAGCGTAAAAATATGATAGTATATCATAGTTTATTTGAGACACATAAAATGATATTTTACCTCAAGCATTTGT